CACAGGGCATGGGGTCCCTGCTGATCCCAAAGAACCCACAGGGCATGGGGGCCCTGCTGATCCCAGTGACAGCACAGCACCCAGGATCCCTGCTGATCCCAGAGCACCCCCAATGCCCAGGATCCCTGCTGATCCTGGTGCCCATGATCTCTGCTGATCCCAGTGCCCAGGATCCCTGCTGATCCCAAAGCATGCCCAGTACCCAGGATCCCTGCTGATCCCGGTGCCAGGATCCCTGCTGATCCCAGTGCCCAGAATCCCTGCTGATCCCAATGCCAGCACAATGCCTATGATCCCTGCTGATCCCAGTGCCATGATCACTGCTGACCCCAATGCCCAGGATCCCTGCTGATCCCAGTGCCATGATCACTGCTGACCCCAATGCCCAGGATCCCTGCTGATCCCAGTGCCCCCTCCCTGCCCAGACCCCCCCTCACATGCCCAGCTCGATGTCACCTGTGTCACACCCCTGTGTCCCCATCACAGGGCTCCCCTTGCTCAGACCATCCCAGATTCCCTTCAGAGCCCTCCCTGCACCTTCTCCACCCCGATCTCACTTTTGGGTTTCCCTCAGGGCCCTGAGCTGCATTTTGCTCCCCCAGCCCCTTTGATTTTGCTGTTCTGGGCCTGTCGTTCCAATCTCACCCCGAATTAACTTAGCTCCTGGGCAGGAGAGCAGCTGGGAAGGGGTTAAACACCTGCACCATCCCCAGCCCATATCCCACGGCATTTCCTGGTGCTGGGCAGGACCCGAACTCTCCTCACCTGCCCTGGGCTGCTCCAGGTGCTGCTCCCTGCCTGGGGACCCGGAGCTGGCATAGCCAGGGGCAAAATTCCATTTTCCAGGGGGAAAAGCAGCTGGGAAATAGGGCCAGGCACAGCCATGAGCTGCAACCCTTCTGGGAATTGTTAAATCCGTGAAAAAATGGTAAAACCCCCAAACTGTGGGTTCAGATGTGGGGCTCCAGGTGAAAACACACCAGTGTCAGACCAAGATGAGTGTCATGGGTAAAGCAGGCTGGTTTTCCATGGGAATTTGATTCCATGCAGGATTTATCACTAAATATTTAATTAGTAATAATTATAATAATGGTAATAATAATAGTAATAATATCCTGGGTTTGGCACAGCCACCAGCCCCTGGCTTTCCCACTTCTCCAATCCCAATACCCAGCTGTCCCCAAACCCTCGGCACTCTGAAATTATTTCCCTCCAGGTAAATAAAACAGATTTTTTTTAAAAAATCATTTTTCCAAAGCCATATAACAGAAAGGAAAAGCATTTCCCTGCAGGCTGAATCCCTACAGCCGGGTGCTGTTCCCGGATGGATCCGTGGAGCCTTTCCCGGCCCCGCCGCTGCTTCCCCGCGCTCATTCCCTGCCAGCAGCATCAGCTTCCCAAAATTATGGAAACACCACACAACCGAACACCCTGCAGCACCCAAAAAATGAAAATTTCAAACATCTCCGTGGCCTCTTTGCACCCTGAAACCTCCCTGGGATTTGGGCTGGATGCCGCTGCTGCGCTTCCCCGGGAAATGGCATTACTGCATTCAGGCTCCAGGCAGCGCTGGAAAAGGCCAGGGAATGGCCAAGCTGCCCCTGGGGCATCCCACAGCTGCCCTTTCCACCCCGACAAGTTCCTGGCTGTTCTTTGACCTTTGGGTTTTGTCCTTTTTTTCTCTTTTTTCCCCATTCCGGCCCGAGAGGTGACGGCAGCAGCGGGAAGGGCCCTGAGCCGGTGTCAGCGCTGAGCCCCGCGAGCCGTGAGCTGAGGCAGCTTCACCCTCGGGATCCAAATACCCCGGGGATTTTGGGGGGCTCAATCCCTGCTTCCCGACACCCACAGCTGCTCCTTTCCTCCGTCCCCGTGCTGGTGACATTTTCCTCCCTGGAAGTTCCTGCTCCCAGGGACGCGTCTGGAGGTTTTGTTTGGCAGAGCCTGGGCAAGGATGAGCCAGGCGGGTACTGGCAACACCCACGGCTCCAGCTTTATTTCCCAACTAAATTTAAGCTTAAAATTTCAATTAATTCAGCACACAGGCCCAACCACCTCACCAGAATTTGTGGAAAACTTTCTCTCTTCCTGGGAAATAAAACTCCTTCCCCTGGAGCCTTTGGGAACAGCCGCTTACCAGGACACCGCGCTCGGACACTCAGATGCTCAGCCCCAGCTCCTGTATTTTCCCCCAGCTCTGTACACTTTTCCTATCATCCTCATGCTTCTCCTGGGTCTCCTTACATCTAAATTCCTGTGAAATATCTGTTCTGATCCCAGAAAGTCTCATCCAACACCAGCGCCCTGCGGCAGCACCGTCTCACACCCATCCTGAATCCCGGGTGTTGGTGCACGGACCCGGAGCTGCTCGGCTCAGCCACGGTTTTCCAGCTTTCCAGGGAAGCCTTCAGCCTGCTGCTCCTTTCCTAGATGGATTTTTAAACCCTTAAATTGCTCCCAGGGAAAACACCCCAAACCAGCAAGGAACAACACCGCAAAAGCGCTCCGGAGAGCGGGACAACACCAGAGCCACATCCCCAACCCCAAACCTGCCACAGCTCCTGGAGCGCCAAAAGCTGAATCACAAAAACCCCAAACCCACCCCGAGGAGCCCCAGAACTCCTGCAGGCTCTGGGGGTCCTGGGCAGTTCCTGCTGGGGTTTCATATGGGAGCGCTGTGCGGGTCTGGGGCCGCTGCTGGGACAGGGTGGGACACGATGGGACGGCCAGGAGGGACACGGAGGGACAGGCGGGTGGCAGTACCTGTGTCTCGGAGAGGCTGAGGCTGCTGGCCAGCTGCTTGCGCTCGGCTCCCACCACGTAGTGGTTCTTCTCGAAGGCTCTCTCCAGGCGCAGCAGCTGCGACGGGGAAAAGGCCGTGCGGATGCGCTTGGGCTTGCGGGCGAAGGGGCCGTGCAGCAGGAGGCTCTCCTGGGACACCTCGCTCCCTGCGGGCACACACAGAGCTCAGCGCGGCCCCCTCGGGGTCCCTGCCAGGCCCTGGGACTCGGCAAGGGCACAAAAAGGGAAATTTTTGGGAGATTTCCCCACCCTGAAATTGCCGGTTTTGTGCTACGTTCTGGATCGTCTCAGCCCCACGGTGGGGTTGGACACGGCGCCAAAGGGAGGGCAGGGAGAGAAAGAAAGAAATAAAGAGAAGGGGTGGACGGGGTGAGCAGCAGGAAGGGGAAAGGGAGGAAGAGAAGGTGGGAGGCAGAGAAAGAACTGATCCCAAGAGAGAGAAAGAAATTATAGAATAGAGAGAAAAAGAAATTATAAAATAGGAGGAAAACTGAGAAAATTACAGGAAAAAATAGAGAAGGAAAACTAAGGAAGAAAAAAAAAAGTGGAGGGAAGAAAGAAAAAGGGAAGGGGACACGGGAAGAGAGGAGAAAAGTGGGAAAGCAATTTTTAAAAGGGGAAGAAAGAGAAAGAAAAACAGAAGGAAAAGAAAGTGAAAGGAGAAAGAAAGCAAGAGACAAGAAGTGGGAAAGAAAAAGAAAAGAAAAAGAAGGAAAGAAGGAAAGAAGCAAAGAATAACGAGCGAGAGAAGGAAATCTGTAAAGCAAGCGAGCGAAACAAGGTAGAAAGAAACGAAAACGAGGGAAGAAAGAGAAAATTAAAGGC